GAAAATTGTTACTGGAATAAAAACTGTGAAACATAGTGTAAAACTATATGTCTTGTAAATTGAGAGCTTTTTTAAAAATTTCAGCCCCCTTTAAGTTTAAGAATAGCTTCTTATACCTTGTTTTCTGTAAGTTATTACCTGTTAGATTCAAATTATACTTATGGATCTGTTTTTGTACCATGAAAGATTTGTTAAATCTTCCATTAGATTTGATGTGTTACTCAATTTGTGGCCGCAGGTTTCAATTTTGAGGCTTACTATAAATAAATGTTAGTGTTGATAATTATATGGTATATTTTGGAGTTATAAGATATCTTAATTTTATAATTATTTTACCAGACTGCATTAGGATTCTTAGGGTCACGTGACTGTTTCCCCCCCTTTCGTCTCTATCCAGGAGTGCTAGATATCCCCATGATCAGTTGGGTGGTTATGCTCGTGTCCAGGTTGCTGGATTATGTGGCAACTGTGGAAGATGAAGCAGCAGCTGCAAAGAAACCTTTGAATGGTAAAGACAGGGAGAGGTTTATGACAGGTATCACAAGTTTATAATAATCTGCGGATGGGGATTTTGAATGACTATGCAATTTTTCCAGAACTGACTTTGGCCTGGAGATTCCAGCTATATGTAATTTATGTAAGGCATTAGTTACCTTTAGCAGTGATAACACACTTACACGTGAAGCTAATGAGAAGGAAGTCTGAAGGGTTACTGTGGTTTACGGTGTTTAGTGTGTTGTTCCATTTACTGTTATAAAATGTTTCTGTTAATTAACTGCAAGTGACTTGTATGCCAAGATACAGAAATTCTTAGGTTTTTGTGAGTTGTAATCTCCATAAGCTTGAAGCACAGAAAATTTTTTAAATGAAAGGAAATCAAAGTGTAAGATAAACTATTTTCTTCTTGTTTTCCAAGTTAATAAGACTTTATGAAGCAGCTACATATCATATGTAAATATAGATAAGAATTTCCATAAAATTTGGAATTTTAAAAAATTATTAGGATTATACTATTAAAGGGCTGTTGAGATGTTTTATGCGTTAATCAGTTCTTTATGATACACATTGTTTGAGAATAGGGTGGGGAATTCTTTTCATGCACAAGGATTTTTTTTTAAACCATGCTGTATATTAATATCTGTAGGTCACTACTTAGTTATAGACTCTAGAAGTAAGACACAAATGCAACTGCATGTAAAGTTGGAATATAACAAATAGTATGTGAAGCCTTAGTTTTATTCATAGTATTCAGGTATTATGAAAACACATTGGTGGAAGACATTTTTTTAAGGCCTGAAGAATTTGAATTGACTTGACAAAAGGATAATAAGAGAAGAGAAAAAGCTGTCATTAGGTTAAGCAGATGTGAAAAAATTCATTGAGGATTGGTGACATGTGGGATTAAGCCTGAACTGAACAGAATGATCAGTATGGAATAGTCTGGACACATTCCAGAATGAGAAGAAATAGAGCTATATAGCATGGTTTTTTAACTATTCAGTCTTCTTTTCACAATCATTAAATCAGATTATTAAGTATCCTTTTTTTTTGGATACCTGCACAGAAGCATAGAGTTTGAAATAGGCAATAGCGAGCATTTTGTTGTTACATTTGAGTGACTTTATCAAAGTGGTATTGTACAAAGATTAATTTTAAACAGTTGTGGAAAAAGTTGACTGTTCCCTTAATGGAAAGATTGAAGGAGTAGAGAACTCTGGTCTTAAAGTCACTTAGGGTCTAGGTTAACTTTTCTAAGATCACATGTCCTTAGCAATTTCTTTATGATGGTTTCCTTAATTTTTTAAAAAAACTGCTTTGTTGTGATTGACACGTTTATTATTTTATATTTTCTAGGTATGAACAGTACTTTAAAATCACATTTATCATAATTGCTAATACAACTTTTCCTTGCTCTGTAGGTAACCAGTGGAGTTTTATTAACAATAGTCTGCACACCCAGAACATAAGTAGATCTTCCAAAGGCAGCAGTAGCCTTGATAGATTATATTCCAGAAAAATAAGAAAGCAGCTAGTTCATCATAAACAGGTAACTTTCAGTATTTTTTTGCTTGGGTTGTTTTAGTGTTTGAGACATTGTTTGAGGTAGACTTTCCATCAGACCTTAGGTATGACATTTAATGAACTACTTAATTTAGGGAAATTACTTGACACTTTTGAGACTGAGTTTGTTTATTTGTAAGATGCCTACAATACATAGTTCACAGATTTTTGCCAAATTCTTTTAAACTGTCTACCTTCTCACATTTCTGATACTACTTTCTAAGTACAGCCATCATTTGTGTAGTCAGAAGACATATCTGCCTTTGTTTGCTCAATCCAGTTCATTTTTCATGCTGCACCTAGAGAGTTCTTTTAGATACAAACCTAATCATATCACTCCACCTCTAAATTGTTAGTGTTTTCCAGATTATCTTTGAATGATGGTAAAACTCCCTTAACGTGGCTTTAGCATATCTATCATCTGCCCGTCTAACTTTTAGGTTTGAATTTTGGCCTAGCCATATTGGGTTTGAGTTCCTGGACCACCTGCAACCAGTCTTCTCCTCCAAGATTTATTTTAGCATGTGCTTATTCCCCCATCCCTTCCTCTTCCCCCGCCAAACATTTAATTTACTATTTTGCTTGGATAATTGAACTTACTTTTCAGAAATTAGTTCATATTCACTTCCTCAAGGAGATCTTCCCTGGTTTCTAAATTAGAGTCCTATAAAATAATCCCATGTATCCTGTATTTTCCCTTTCGTTATATTTATTGTATTCTTCTGTTGAGATTCTTTTAACCTGAGTTTATAGCTGATGTCAGATTCTCATACACCAGTACTTTATTATAGTTATATTTTAAAATGCATCTTCCTCTTTGTCTTACAGTATATATAGAAATATATACTATATCTTTAATATCCAGTATGGAGCCTAGTATGTCTCTTAAAAATATTCGTATAATTGATTTAAGATGAAAGAAAAAAAGTGAAGTCGCTCAGTAGTGTCTGACTCTTTGCAACCCCATGAACAGTAGCCTGCCAGGCTCCTCCATCCATGGGATTTTTCAGGCAAGAATATTGGAGTGGGTTTGCCATTTCTTTCTCCAGGGGATCTTCCTGACCTAGGAATCAAACCTCGGTCTCCTGCACTGCAGGCAGACTTTTTACTGTCTGAGCAACCAGGAAAGCTAATTTAAGATGAAGTGCGAATTTATATGAAAACATGTATGTTCTGAAAGTTTGTGAAAGCTTTGGGTTTTTTAAAAAGCATGACTTAGCACTAAATTACTTACTTTTACTTCTGAGTTTTTCTACTATGAGCAACCGTTGGCCCTTTTGCAAGAAAAATGATGTAAAGCTTTTTCACATCACTGAAATCTGAATAACTTTGGTGAATTGTGATAATGTCATTACTCTGTTGTGATATTTTACTATTGTTAGGCAAAATGGGTTAGGCAAAATTAGGTAAAGTGTAAAAGAGATCTCTGCATTATTTTTAATAACTGCATGTGAATTTATAGTTATAAAATTTTTAATTAATAAGAATCATAGACATACCAAAAAATGTACTACTCTTGAAGGAGATTTCCATAAAAGCCAAGCTAGGACTCTTGTACAGTAAAAGTATTTTCCTAGTGTATTTAGAAATAATTCTTTTCCTCTATTTAAAAACATTCCATCAGTCAGTCTCATTAGAGGCTTACATAAAAGAAGTATTCCACTTATTTCTCTTCTTCCATGGATAACAAATTGGTTACTTCTTAATTACAAAATGGGGAGATCTTTTATTTGGATTTTGGAGGTGATTTTTAAAAAAATCAATATAGTTAAAACTAGACTTTACAGAAAACTACTTATTCCATTAGTTTGCTATATGGATTCTGAGAAGTACAATAACTTATTTTGTTGTTTTTAACATTGCTAACTATAAGATTAACATTTTCTTTAAAGCAACTTAACTTATTAAAAGCAAAACAGAAGGCTTTGGTGGAACAGATGGAAAAAGAAAAAATACAGAGTAACAAAGGATCATCATATAAACTTCTGGTAGAACAAGCAAAATTAAAGCAGGCTACCTCAAAGGTATGATCTTTATTTTTTAATATAATTAGAAAAGTTGCTCTTCCATTTAGTATTAATATTTTAAATTATTTGAATAGTTAAATATCTTTAATAATGATCAGGAAGCTTTATGTTATTCTGCTTATCAGCAGAAAAATCTATCCTATGTACTTCTTTGAGGGGGAAGGTAGCTTTAACTCAAGGAAATACATGGATAATGTGGACTTAAAGTATTTTTCTAGTGTATTTTCTTTAAAATGGATTGTGTTCCAGTAAATTGATGATAAAAGGATTCAGGATGTGTACGGTTTTCCTAATGTGTCCATTCTAAGTGAAAATTAATTTCAGTGATTTTTAAATAAAGTTTTTTTAAAAATAATGACTTTTTTTTTTTCAGCTAGGGGGATAGCATTTCAATCGCAACGAAGTTTGCATATTGTGTTTCTATAAATATGAGATTACAATTATTACAGCAAAATTTGAAATGAATTAATACTCTATGCTTTGTATGTATAGGTTTCTTTACCATTCACCTTTAAAGATTATGTTTAGGGTGTTTTGGTAATATTTAAAGTAATAGATTTGCCCTGATAGAGCCTTTTTATAGAATTCCTCCTTTCTGAAATTTTGTCAGACATCTGATGCATTATTGTAAAATAGACAAAGGTGTATATTGTCAGTATAGTTTTTAATAATCTTACTTTTTGAAGCTTATGGTTTGCTTAAAAATCATGTTCTTTACAGTTGTATGTTTTCTGAGTGTATATTTTCATCTCAGAAATAAACTCATATTGAAAGAATTTTCATTCAATAAACATGGACTTAATATTGTAAATTTCTGTGTATAGCACTTTAAGGATTTAATTCGGTTACGTCGGACGGCAGAGTGGTCTCGTTCTAATTTAGACACAGAAGTTACAACAACAAAAGAAAGTCCAGAGATAGAACCACTTCCATTTACTCTGGCCCATGAACGTTGTATTTCAGTAGTCCAGAAACTTGTCCTGTTTCTCCTCTCTATGGATTTTACATGCCATGCAGATCTCTTATTGTTTGTTTGTAAGGTAAGTAAACTAATAGGCCTAATTTATAATTACAGGCTTAGAGAATAAGAAAAAGAATGAAGAAAAAAATACAGTTTTAAATTGAGTTTTAAGAGAAATAAAAGTGCTTTGGTTTTCCTTTTATGCGGTTTAGTTTTTTTTAATGTGCCTTGAAAGATTTTAGAAATACTTGGGCACTTATTTTTAGGAGACCTATTATACATTTTTAATCTAGTTAAAACTAGATTAATGTAGACTTGAAATGTAAATAGTGTGAAGTGAAGTAAAAGTCTCTCAGTCATGTCTGACTCTGTGACCACAGGGACTATACCGTCCATGGAATTCTACTGGCCAGAATACTGGAGTGGGTAGCCTTTCCCTTCTCCAGAGGGAAAAGCCCTGAAGGCTTTCCTGTAGCATATTCATTGTTTGTAGAAATGGAACTTTTCAACTCATTTTTTTACCCGGATTTTAACTTTTGATCCATGAAGTTACATTTCCTTTGCATTTCATGTCAAATAGTTATATTTTGACATTAGGCGCATTCTATTTGAAAAGTTACTTCAATGCTTTATTTTTGGAGAAAACATGTAATAGCTACTTAAGTGTATGATTTTATAAAATGTATTACAGGTTCTTGCACGCATTGCGAATGCCACGAGGCCAACTATACATCTATGTGAGATTGTGAACGAACCCCAGCTGGAAAGACTGCTATTACTTTTGGTTGGAACTGACTTCAATAGAGGAGATATATCTTGGGGTGGTGCTTGGGCTCAATATTCCTTAACTTGTATGCTACAGGATATTTTAGCAGGTTTGTTAGAATTTATTTTTAATAAGGTATATCAAAATGAGTTTGTTGATGCTTGACTAATCATTAAAGGCAACTGTGCCCCTCAAAAGTGTAAAATGTCTTATCTCAGCAATAGCAACCTTTTTGAATTATTTGTGTTTAATTATGTTACCACCTGTGATAAATGCAAGTGTTTATGGAGGAATTAGGTTATAAAGTGCAGGGATACGGGAGCTAGTCTGCTTCCTTATTAATACCAGCAGTGGGCTGCTTCCAAGTTCTCTTGGTACGCTTGAGGAAGGTACTCCCTATTCCTCAGTTTTTTTCATCTGTAAAATAAGGGTAATAAAAACATCTTTATTGTTATTTTGATGAATAAGTGAGTTAATATATTTAAAGTGATGATAATGACTCCTTGTTCATAAGGCACGCATTTTATGTTTTTACTATTTAGCATTTGAAGTTAGTGCAGTGGAAGGCCCTAGCATTTCCTTGGATAGATGAGGACTCATTTGCCTCAGAATCTTTTATGGTTGGTAGAGTGTACATGCTATTCTCTATACTAGATGAAAAAACATGTTTTGGGTGTCTTTACTAATTACTAAAGCAGCTAGGGTGATGATATTCTCACCTGCAGGAGAATTGCTGGCTCCAGTAGCTGCGGAAGCCATGGAGGAAGGAACAGTGAGTGATGATGTAGGTGCCACAGCTGGTGACTCTGACGACTCCCTGCAGCAGTCTTCAGTTCAGCTGCTGGAAACTATCGATGAACCTTTGACACATGATATGACAGGTATATCCGTTGCTTTTTAACTAAACATATCCTTAGCTCTTTTTTTAAAAGTGTGAACTTAAATTTCAAAATTAAGAATATTAATGAAGTGTAAAATTTTTATAGTAAGTCTTTAGCCTTAGTAACGATGTCAGTATTTTTCTGATAAATAGGTTTTACTTTGATTTTCTGCATGCTGCTTTTTAAAAATAATTTTTATTTATTTATTTATGCCTGTGCTGGTTCATCATCACTGCATGGGCCTTTTTGTAGTTTCAGTGAGCGGGGGCTACGCCTCATTGCAGTGTGTGGGCTTCTGATTGTGGTGTCTTCTCTTGGTGCAGAGCACCGGCTCTGGGTGCACAGGCTTCAGTAGTTTCAGTTCCTGGGCTCTAGATCACAGGCTCAGTTGTGGAGGCAAACAGGGTTAGTGCTCCGCGGCAGGTGTGGTCTTCCCTGACCCAGACTCATCTCCTGTCTCCTGCATTGGCAGGCAGATTCTTCACCACTGAGCCACCGGGGAAGCACTTTGCATGCTTTTTCTAGTAAAATGGTATCCTTTCTCAGTTTCCATGTTATTTTGGTACAGTCTTGGCTCTGTGGAAGGAATTACAAGCTAGAAAGGAGTTAAAAATACACAGTGGTAAAGACAGCAATGGTTCTTTTTTCTTTCTTTGTTTTCTGCCTTTTCAAAACTATAGAGTGCGTCTTAGCATGTACAAACCTTTGTGGTGTACTCCCTACTTTTCAAGACTCTGTTTAAGTTATTTCCTTATATATTGCAATGCTACAGTCATTTCATTTGTTTCACTACTTAATCTTAGAGTCTCTCATGATTTTATCCTCTCTGTCTGATAGTCCCTTTACCTGGAGCAGACTTTCTTCTCTAGTTTACATACTGAACTTCTTGTCTGAGATTCACATACAGCTACCCTCCTCCACGAAGCTTTTCCCGTCACCACCAGCTATGTTGGAGACTGCTGTTGGTGCTACCTACTTCCTTGATTGTCTCCAGTAGCAGCTACCATGCTGTATTTGGTTGAATTTCTGTTGTGTACCCTCACCTTTGAACCCCTGTTAATTTATTGGAAAGTAGATATATATTTTATTGATCTTCATATACTCAAACCCTAATGAGTCTGATGTTTTCTTGACATTGTATAAATATATGTTGAATAAAAAAGGGTGAGAAAGAAAGGAAAAGTTGGAAGGCATAAAAGGCTGGTCAAGCATTTGCAATCATCTGAGAGCAGAATATTTTCTAACTCATGATAGAAAAATAAGGTGAATAGCAGTGTTCTTAAAACTTTACTTTTCACTTTAATAATGGGTTTTCTTTCCCTAACTATTGGGTGTAATTTATGAATTATATGTTTGAGGCAATAAAATGAACAATATTGTTCATTCTAGAAATGGTTAGTGATTATTTTTAATAACAAAGTTTATGTGACTTGATTCAACAAGGACTAATCCTATGGTCTTTTCCACTAGGAAGTTACATACTATTGCACTGGTGTTTTTAATTGTGTGTGTTATGGGGTGATGTGTTTGTGTACTTACTTATGCTTAATTGTCAAGTATAAAAATTTAGAGACTTCTGTATCAGAAACATTTTATATTTAAGTAAATGCAATTACTTTATAATTAAAAGCAGTAGTATATTGGGTAAATTTTATATATTCCACCAAAAAAATCACTTTAAATTATTTGAAGGTGCACCTCCTCTTTCCTCTTTGGAAAAAGATAAAGAAATTGACCTTGAGCTACTTCAGGATCTAATGGAAGTTGACATTGATCCTTTAGATATTGATTTGGAAAAGGATCCTCTTGCAGCCAAAGTCTTTAAGGTATGATCCACTAAAATGTTCTTTGCAATTAAAATCTTTCATCTTATACTTCTGGTTTATTGATTACTTAAAAGAGGAAAGTATACACTTAATGTAACCCATTATTTTGTTTGCTCAAAATTAAATTACTATAGATACTATAGTAGATTTTTTATGATACTATTAGAATGTTATAAGGAGAACTGACATCACTTTTTTAATATAGCTGCTAATATTAAATGTTAATAAGAACCATTAATAAACATAGGAGGTATGGTTATGGAGTACTGATGTTTCAAGCAGCATTTAAGCTCATCCAGGTTGAGTTCATTGCAGAATCTTTACTAGCCGCTACTCTTTCTAAAAGAGATACATCTCTAATACTTTATTTTAGTTTATTTTGTTTGTAAGAGATTTTATTAAGATGCTAGATTCTAATAAATAAGGTCTTTTTAGACTTGGGGATACAATGGAATATTCTGAACCATTCCTATGGATCATTAAGTTTATGTTTTAAAAACTTAAAGGGTAAGGGGAATGTTTACTTTATAGCCCTGTTTGAGTTAAGGTGGTATAAATAATATGTTACTGTTAGTGAAGAGTCAAAAATAAACCACAGTTCTTTCTATTTTTTTAAGCCAATAAGCAGTACATGGTATGACTATTGGGGTGCTGATTATGGCACCTACAATTACAACCCGTACATTGGAGGTCTTGGAATTCCTGTAGCAAAGCCACCAGCAAATGCAGAGAAGAATGGATCACAGACAGTTAGTGTTTCAGTGTCTCAGGGTAAGTGAGGCGCTGTTATTAAGACAAGCTATTCTTAAAACAAGTTCTCAGTTTGTGTATTCTTGGTCTCCTGAGAACTTGATCCTGCATGTATGCTGAGAGAGTTTATTATTGCAGGGGTGCCTTGAGCGTGACTGACACTGAGAGCTGTGTGTTGGTCAGTTTGGAAGCATTTCTATTTATGGTCCATTTATTTATTTATGGTCTATTTATTTATTTCTATTTATGATCCATCTTTTGTTTCTCAAAATAACACTTAGCAAAATATACTTGTGAGTTGTGAGAGTGCCAGTGGTTTTAATTATTTTATTGTTATTGCAGTTTCTTTTATTTTTATAACAAAAAACAATTATAATAGTAAATTTATATTTTATTTGTAAGCAGAATGAAATTATGTTATTATTTTTGCACTCTTCTAGTCACAGAGTATGTAACTTTCTTTTTTCAATGAAATATTTTCTTTTTTTTTTTCTTATTTTATTTTTTCCATTTATTTTTATTAGTTGGAGGCTAATTACTTTACATCATTGCAGTGGTTTTTGTCATACATTGAAATGAATTAGCCATGGATTTACATGTATTCCCCATCCCGGTCCCCCCT